TAGGTGGACACATATCTTTATTTTACTTTTATGTGGTGCTGAGAACCAAACCCAGTGCCTCATATGTGCGAAGCGAGCACTCTACCTCTGAGCCACAATCCCAGCCCTGATGAAGTTCTTTCTACCTCTTTACCAGCTGTGTTTTCTGTCAAAAGAAGCTTTATGCATCAGATATCACTTCTGCTTCTTAATTGGGAACTAAATAGAAAGTTTAGTGATGGGAATACTTCCACAAATCTCTGTTTCATTTGTATTCATTATTTCAGAGATCATTGTGCATTTTCTTTTCTTTCTTTTTTGTACTACTTCATGAATATTTATTGGAAATTGGGGAAGAGCTATTAGATGCTGTTATTAGCCTGCCACCATCCTAAAAATTGTGAGTCCAAGATTGTTTAACTTACTTAGTATAACCTGTGTGTTAGAAGATCCCCAAGGAAGCATGTCTTTCCACCCCTAGCTTGAAACTTAAATTCAAGTATTAAAACAATTTGTCATGTTACGTGTTTGGTATTCTTATGAGCCTCTTAAAAAAGATAAACATGGGCTGGGGCTGTAGCTCAGTAGTAGAGCGCTTGTCTTGCACGTGTGAGGCACTGAGTTTGATCCTCAGCGCCACATAAAAATAAATATAATGTATCCATCTACAACTAAATTTAAAAAAAAAAAAAGGCAAACATTCTCCAAAAGGATAAAATAAGTCAGTATCATCTTGGTTTGATAACTATATCATCAAGCAAAACTGGTTTACATTGGAAGTGTAGCCATGAAACACAAAAGCCCATGACATCTAATGTTGAATTTTGCAATATTGAGACCAGCCCATTGAGTGGGGGAGCAAAAATACCTTTACTGCTCTAAACCTTTCCTCATTCCCAGGCAATCCCTGAAGAACAATTGTTACCTCCTATGTAGCTACATCACAAGTATCAGAGGATACAAATCAGAAAGCACCACTACACATTGCTACTGCTAATCAATCCCAGGTTCTTTACTGTAAACTTGTGACTTTTGTGAGTTATTTTGTTTACCAATACAAATTTTAATTGTTATAACATTTTACAACAGAGTCAATAAGAAAAACATAAAAGTGATCTGCTCTAATGGAAGCAGGGTCTGGTACCGGCAAGTTTTTGGCACTGAAGATGTTCCATTGAATCCCTAGAACTCTGAATACCATAATTTCTAAACCAATATTCTAGACATCATTGTTCAGAGATACCCACTGAAGACAAGTATAGGAAAAGGCATCAAGATATCTCAAAATAACTGGAATGCTTGAGTTCTGACTTTGTCTGTTATTTTAAGAAAACTTAATTAGTATTTTCTATCCTTTGCATTCTTACCCCCTTCTTGTCCCAGGCAACTACTGAGGGAGGTCCATTGGACTGTGTGATCTTTAAGACCTCACTCTTCCATGATATCAATTTTACATATCTATGAAAATATTTTTAACGTTTTTTTTTCTTACGTTACATACATATCAGAATCGTGACTTCCAATTCTGACCAGGATGGAATGCAGTACTATGGCCTATCTTCCTGCTAATTACAACAAAACTCTGGACAAAACACATATTTAAAAAGTTACTTCAGGACTCTTAAAAGTGAATAAAACAGGGGCTGGGATTGTGGCTCAGTGGTTGAACACTTGCCTAGCACGTGCGATGCCCTGAGTTCTATCCTCAGCACCGCATAAAGATAAATAAAATAAAGATATTGTGTTCAACTAAAATATTTTTTAAAAAGTGAATAAAACAGGTGAATTGTGGATTGGAGTCAAAACTTAAATA